CTCTCTCTCTCTCTCTCTCTCTCTCTCTCTCTCTCTCTCCTTCCCATATACAACCTATTGCCAAGTCCTCTCTAGTCTATCTTATGTCTACTGTATATAACATATCTTGTATATACTCTCTTCTCTCCTCTGACACGGCCATCACTCCTATGCAGGCTTCTATCACCTTCTACCTGGACTATTGCAGTAGCCGGTGGGTTGGTCTCTTTGCCTCGTCTCTCCTCATCCCAGCCCATCCTCCACACAGCTATCAAAATTGCCTTCCTAAAGCACAAGTCTGAACGTGATTCTCTGACTGTCCCCAACCTCCACTCAGTGAACACTAGTAGTTCTTGATTTCTTCCAGGATCAAATATAAATCTCTTGACTTTTAAATCCCTTCATAACCTGGCTTCTTCTTATCTTTCCAACCTTCTCATACTTTACCCCCTTCCATATTCTTTGTGATTGAGTGACACTAGCCTCCTTATTTTTTTTCTAATACAATACTCCCATCTCCCAACTACAGACATTTTCCCATTTCCTTTTCCATCTCCCAATTGCAGACATTTTCACTGGCTGTCCTACATACCTGGAATGCTCTTCCCCCTCTTCTCTAGCTTCCTAGCTTCCCTCTCTTTAAGGGTCAGCAGAAATCCCAGCTTCTACAGGGAAGCCTTTCCTAATCCCCCTTAACGCTAAGGCTTTCCTTCTGAGAGTATCTCCAGTTTATTCTAGATAAATCTTGTCTGTTCACAGTTATTTACATGTTGTCTCGACTCCATTAGACTGTGAGTTCCTTGAGAGCAGGGATTGCTTTTTTGCATTTTTTTTTTTTTGGTGAGGCAATAAGTGACTTGCCCAGGGTCACACAGCTTGTAAGTAGGGATTGCTTTTTTACCCTTCTTTGTAGCCTCTGCACTTAGCACAATGCCTGGCACACAGTAAATGCTTGATAAATGCTTATTGACATTAATAGATTCTTGTTGACTTGACTGTCAGTTGAAGAGTATATACCGTCCTTCATTGGTAGAAGAATTTCCTCCCTGGTACCTGTCTATATCATTGGAATCTTAGGTCCAGTTTGAAAAAAACAAAAACAAAGAACTCATCATCTTTTGTCCTATTTCATTCATGCATTCATGCATTCTTTATCTATAGGCCTGTGCTTAGAGCTAAAACAGATCCAAATTGAGGTAGGGCATCTACTTTCCCCCAACAGAGCTGATGGTCTAGCAAAAGGATAGCGCACACACACACACACACACACATACATATACAAGTAAGTGTAATACCCAATAATATCTGATCAGGTAATTTGAGGGGCATGAAATATGGTATCTCTTTCTCTAACTCATTCTCTTCACCTCTACCCTGATTTCCTCCATATCCCCAGGTCAGAGGAATGGCAGAAAGTAAGCAAAAGTGAGAGGGAGAAGCTCGGCGTGACTGTGAAGGATGATGGAGAATTCTGGTGAGTGTTACACATGGGAAGACATGGCTGGGTGGTCTGAGAGAGACTTTGCTGTTGAGACCTGGGCACAGGGAGAGATTCATCTGAGGCCAAGTGAGTTCTGGAAAGTCAGGATGGCCCAGGGTACTGGAAATACTGTGGAATTGGGGAGTCAGGAAGGACCTAGCTTGTAGTCATGGCTCTTCCACAAGGTCATTGTGTGACCTTTAAGCAGTCCCTTCCCTTCTCTAGGACTGGGTTTCTCCACCAAGGCATTCAGCAAATGTATTTCAAGTGCTCAGTAAATGTGAGAGCTCCCTCAAGAGGATAATTATCCATTCTACTCATAAAACTTTTCTTGGATGCTTCCACACCCATTAAGTTACAATCACAAGTTCCCCATTTCCGAAGCACTTTGAAATTTATATAAAGCACTTTCCTTATATTACCTTTCTTTGTATCCCTAGCACTGCTTAGCACAGTTCCTGTCTGGTGAAGGGTAAAACATAATAAGTACTTGTTCATGGATAGGTCGATCCTTTGAGGAAGGTACTTATCCTCACTTGATCAAGAAGGGACTTATCCAAGGTCATATAGCTTGTAAGTGGATGAGCCAGATTCAAACCTGTTTCCTGACTCCAAGGCCATTGTCCTTTTCACTCTACCACATTCAGTTAATTAGTCAATAAACATTCATTAAGTACGTGCTCTGTGGCAGCACTTCTTAAACTGTGGGTTGTGACCCACAGTTTAAGAAGCACTGAAGGGGTGCTAGTGGAAAAAGTTTAAGAAGCCCTGCTCTATAGCAGGCACTGTTCCAGGCAATGTGTTAGGTTCTGAGGATATAGAGATAAAAATGAAACACGTCCTGACCTCAATGAGCTTACATTCTATCAGGACCAGAAATATGTCCATATAAATAGATAGAAAATGTATATAAATAAAATACAAGGTCATTGGGTGACAGAAATGGTGGGGGAGACCCTAGCAGCTGAAGAGATCAGAAGAGAATTCTTGTAGGACATGGCCTTTCAGTTAAGTTTTGAAGGAGAATCCGGGGCTTCCAAGAGATGATGAACAAGAAGTATGTTTCAGGAAGGCATCGGACACAGCCTGGGCAATGACTGAGTTTTTTTCTTAGTTTTTTTTTTTCCTCCTTATTTTTGTAAGTCAAAAAAACTGAGATCTAGGAAAGGAAAGTGATTTATCTTAAGTTCTACTCTGATAACCCTAGGATTGCTAGAACTGGGATCCTCATGAATCTCAGGCTGGAGTTCCTTCTTCCATGTCCCATCAAATCCCTGATTTTAGTGCCATTGGAATTAGAAGAGTCTTTCCAGATTGGGGGGATCCCTCCCTCTCTCTGGCATGCTGGCTGGCACATCCCTCACTATAACCCCTTTGCCCAGGATGACATTTGAAGACCTCTGCCGATATTTCACGGACCTCATCAAGTGTCTCGTCATCAACACATCCTACCTGAGCATCCACAAGACCTGGGAGGAGGCGAAGATTAAAGGAGAGTGGAAGTATCATGAGAATCCTCTGAAGAACCGCACTGGGGGCTGTATCAACCACAAGGAGACCTTCTTCCAGAACCCCCAGGTGAGCTAAGAGTGAAGATCCACACACATGCCCTGCCTCTGTATCCTCCCTCTTCCATTTCCAGGCACTCTTTACCTTCCGTCTCAAATATACTGGGTGTCCCAAAACTCTTAGTGCAGTTCTAAGCTAAGATTTTGGGGACACCCTGTATATATAAGACATGCCCCCTATACCCTTGAGGGAGGGGGTGGAAGGGGCGAGAAAAAGGTCAAGAGGCAGCATGGTACAATCTGGAAAGCAATACTCAATAAAGAATTAAGAGATCTGAGTTCACATTCCAGCTTTGCCAGAATTGTAAGATCTTGGGCAACCTGCTTTACATCTCTGTGCTTCAGTTTCTGCCTTTGTGAAATATAGGAAGGAAGCATGATGAAGTGCAAAGAGCTCAGAATCTCCTCATCTCTAAAATGGGGATTCTAGCAATTAGCACTACCTATCCCACAGGATTCTAGGGGGGGAAAATACTCAGTACACCAAAAGGCTCTGTCACTTTCCTTCAGGGCTTGAGGAATCTTTCATGAGTCTGACACTCCACCAATAATACTCTTTTATAATTTCATAGATTGTGATTGACAGTTACTATAGCCAATAGATTTGTCCTTCTGCAGATCAACCTGGTGATATACTGCTTTAAACTAAGGTAGGCTGGTTCTTGGACAATAGCCACCCATTGTCCTCACACTCAAAACCTTTCCAGCATTGTAAGACTTGACAGATAGATCCACTGCCTGGCTCTGCAGTGAGGGCTGGACTAGATTGAAATATAATTGGGAGGTGTTCAACAAAGCAAATAAAATTATAATGCAAAACAGATATTTTAATTTGTGGGTTTCTAGGTCAATTTGCAGGCACAGAAACTGTTTCTATTTGAGTTTGACCCTCCTGCTTTAAGACACCAGGGTCACCTTCCTTCACTGATGGGGTATAAGGAGACAAAGCCACTGGAGGGCACTCATTATTGTCTGTAAAATGAGGGTGGGGCTAGTGGATATCATCATGATTATAATTTAACACCTACAGCTCAATCCTTACCACACAAGCCTTGTGCTCAAAAGCATTTGGCCCACTTCCCCCCACAACTTTGACTTCCCCAATCCTAACACAATCAAAACCTTCCCAATGCCCTTACCTACCATCCTGCAACTCTCATACCCTCTCTCTCTCTCTCTCTCTCTCTCTCTCTCTCTGTCCCCTTCTCCCTCTCCCTCTTTTTTTTGTTTTGGTTTTTTTAGGCAATTGGGGTTAAGTGACTTGCCCAGGGTCACACAGCTAGTAAGTGTCAAGTGTTTGGTTTGAGGCCAGATTTGAACTCAGGTCCTCCTGATTTCAGGGCCGGTGCTCTATCCACTGCGCCACCTAGCTGCACCTCCTCTCCCTCTTTCTATCTGTATCTCTCTGTGCATCCCTCCCTTTCTCCTTCTCTCTCTCTTTCTCTCTCAGTCTCCTCTCTATTTCCTCCTGTCTCTTTCTATTTCTGCCTGTTTCTCTCTCCATCTCTCTTCTTTGCTCCCTCTCTTCTTCCCTCCCTCCCTCTCTCTCTTTCTTTTGTGTCAGTCTCTCCTCTCTCTCTATCTCCTGTCTCCCTCTCTTTTTCTTTCTCTCTCTGCATTTCTCTCTCCTTCTCTCCCTCCCTCACTGTCTCTGTTTCTGTCTCAGCCTCTCCTTTCTGTATCTCCTTCTATTTTCTATCTCTGTCTCTGTTTCTCTCTTTCCATCTCTCTCCCTCCCTCCTCTCTCTTTCCCTCCCTCTCTCTCTGTTTCTTTGTCTCGGTCTCTCCTCTCTCTTCCTCTGTCTCCTTCTATCTCTCTCCCTCTCCACATCTCTCTCTCTCTCTGCATCTCTTTCTCTCTGTCTCTCCCTCCCTCCCTCCCTACTCCGTCCCCATCTCCAGAGATCCATCTCCTTCATGGAATCACAGACTCTCAGAGCTGAAAGTGGCTGCACAGATCAACTAGTCCAGCCTCCAGTTAAGCAGAAATCCATCTTACAAAATGCCTGACAAGTGGTCCTCCACTTTCTCCTTGAGTGATGGAAGTTCATCAGTGGAATAAGGAGAATGGACTCGGCAGTCTCTAAGGTCCTTCGCAGCTCTCATATTCTACGAGTCTGTGAATTTCTGTATCAGGAACGTTTCTCAGTGTACCCTTGTATCTGTCTGACTATGGGCAGACCACTTGATGTCCTTCAGCCTCAACCTCCTCATCTTCAAAATGGGGGCAATCATGCCTACCTCACAAGGTTGTTGTGAGGACCAAATGAAACAATGTACAGTGCTTTGCAAACTTCTTAAGGGCTGTTTAAATATCGGTCGTTGTCATCATCATCATCATCATCATCATCCTTATTTCAGTGTGACTCTACACAGGTGCTCTGGTCAACTTTCTGAGAGCACAAGTTTCAGACAAGGTGATGACAGGTATTAGTAGATAGGTTTTCCTGATCTGAGATGGTACTATGTTAATGAAATCACAGGGCTGGTTCTGAGCTGTTACTGTTACTGTTGTTATTACGTGTTCTCTCCCCCTGCTGACTGTTTGTTTTTCTAGACATACCATCTTGGGTCCCCAGATAACATGATTTTGAGACTAATGTAGTGGAAAGAACCTTGGATTTGGAGTTTAAGGGCCCAAATTTGAATCCTGGCTCCATTACTTAGTACCTTGGGCAAATCACTCCCACTCTTGGGCCTTGTTTGTTCGATGAGATGGAGTTGAACTAGACAATCTCTGGGGTGTATGTCAGCTCTTCAGTGCTCTGGTCCTTCTTCCATGAACCTGAAGCCCTGTTTTCCTTCTCCCCTTGTCCCCAGTATGCATTCAATGTGAAGAAACCAGGAGATGAGGTGCTTGTCTGTCTGCAGCAGAAAACAAGGCGGACCACCCGCAGACAGGGCAAAGCTGAGAACCTGGCCATTGGCTTTGACATCTACAAGGTAAGCAGGGGCCCAGAGGCAGGCCCTGTTCCCCTAGTGGGGAGGCTCCCCTCTACTTGTAAGATAGATGATTCTCAGTGACCATGAGCAGCTCCCTTCTCTGTCCCTGGGAAGGTGAGGATGGTGGCCTGGGGCAGTCTGAAGTTCAGGCAGTTGAGCTGTGTTTAAATCCCACAGAATGGGATGCCTGCTCACTCCTGGCTTTGGAGTCGACAGCCTGGCTTATTTCTGGGCTTGCATTGAGTTGGGTTATAAGAGCACTGGATTTAGGTTCCATGGTTCTAGGTTTGAATATATACTATATACAACTCAATGCCCATATGATCTCAGGCAAAATTAACTCACTTCTCTGGGCCTCAGTTTCCTCCTTTGTGAAATAAGCAGGTTGAACTAGATGAGCTCCAGTCTCTTCCTCCACTGAGTCCTGTGATTCTATCATAAGAATGAGTCCCTGTTTCTCCTTGGCATCGAGGTTTGTCAGCTGGCAGCTAGTTCCTTTCTGTGAGGTGCTTTGGCAGTGACCTCCACGGTAGTTTCCTGGCCTTCCGCAAAGGGAATGGATGAGATGCACGTTTCTGAGCCTTGAGCATCAGGATGCTCTTGGGCTCGAGCTCATCGTTGGAGGTCAGGAGAGAATACCTCACCCAACCCCAATGCCTTGCTGCTCCCATGTTTCCCAGAGCTCACAGCCAAGGATGGATCCATCTTTGGGGATTTTCTCAAGGCTGTTGGAGCTGCCTCTTGTCTCTTGGTTTGACAAGTCAGGCTGCATTTTCCTGCTCCTCATAGGGCTGACTCAGTGTGGTGGAGTGGAAAGAGACCCTAGCTTAGCCCTAGAAGACCTGGAGTTTGGATCCGAGCCCTGTGACCTTGGACAAGCCATATTTTATCTCTCAGAACCTCAGTTTTTCTCATTTGCAAAATGAAAGTTAATAATGCTTTTACTGCCTCCTTCACAGAGTTGTAAAGATCAAATGAGATAATGTTAATAAGAGACTCTTTAAACCTTAAAGTGCTTCACAGATGTTATCATTTTATTATTATTAGCACACATTAGGCAGTATATACCATCCCTGTGCATAAACTCAGTAGAGACCTGGGTTCAAATTCTGCCTCCAACTGAGGAGAATGATTATTTCTCTCTTATATTAATAATCATTTACTATTGGGGAGATTCAGGGTTTTTTCTCTTCCTATTTCCTTGCTCTCTACTTGGTCAAATCAGCCCCTGAAAAATAGAGCTGATAATGAGATTGGATTAACTTTCTCCTCAATCTTGTTCAGACCCCACCCAACTGGGAAAGTTTAGATCTGATCAAAAGGTAGGGGGTAGATACTTTGTCTAGATTGCCTGGGCTGGTCATGTTCTGGGAGTCAGAGTGACATAAAGTCACCTCCCCTACCCCTCATTAGAATAGTCCCACCTCTCATTATAATATTCATTTTTCTCATTAATTGTTAACCAATCAGAATTGATTGTCATCTGTCGGGAACACCCACTCTTCCAAGGGCATATAAGCATCAACAGGCTGCCATGATCTGTCTTTGGTTCATGAGAGACAGCCAAATGACCAGTCCTTTTATTAAGTATTCGCTAGCCATAATTAATAAGATGATTAATTGCCAAGAAACTAAGTCTCTTGAACTTTTTATACATCACACAACCTTTCTTAGCTGTGCAGCCTAACCTTTAGTGTCTTCATTTGTAAAAGAACTGCGATATGGGGTTGTGCCCAAAGTCTTAGTGTGGTTTTCATTCCAAATCATACTGTGATTTTTGGTACAGCCTGTACTATCTGTATCCTCCCCCTTCCAGTATTGTTATGAGAATCAGTGAGATAATGCACATAAAACACTCTGCTAACCTTGACCATATTATCATGTCAGCAATTATTTTTCTGTTGTTGCTGTTATGTCCTCCTTACCTGCCTACTCCCCCCAAACCTGCATCTCTTTCAAGTTTCTCTATTTATATTAATGGCACCAAAAGCTTCTCAGTTACTCAGAACCTCAGCCATCTGATAGCATGACCACAGGCTAGATATCCAGGGACTCTTTCCCCTTCTTTGTCATGGCCTACTTTGGCGGTCCGTCTGGTGAAACCCATGGACCCCTTCTCAGAAACGTGTTTTTTAAATGTATCAGTTACGTGGGCAGGAGGTATAGTGGGTAGAGCATCAGACCTGGAGTCAGGAAGATGAGTTCAAATCTGGCTTTAGACATTTACTAGCTGCGTGACCCTGGGCAAGTCACCTAGCTTTCTGTCTGCCTCAGTTTCCTCATGTGCAAATAGGGATGATAATAATAGCACCTACCTCCCAGGGCTGATGTGAGGACCAAATGAGATAATAATTGTAAAGCAGTTAGCACAATGCTTAGGACATTGTGGATGCTTAATAAATAATAACAATAGCTATCATTTATATAGCATTTAATATTATGTAGCACTTAGCACAGTGCCTAGTACCTTGTAGGTGCTTAATAAATTTGAATAATAATAACAACAATTATAATAACTAACATTTATGTAGTACTTACTATGTGCCAGGCACTGTGCTAAGTGCTGGGGAGAAAAAGGAAGCTGCCCCACAAAAAAAAAAATACAGTTATCAGAATATTTTTAAAAAACTCAAAAGTTCACAGACCAAGTTAAGAACCCCTGGCTGAGTTACTTAGTCTCCATCAAGTACAGTCTCCTCATCTGTAATATGGCAACCACTGCCCAACCTGCCTCCCTGACAGGGTTGCTGTGGGGAAAGCACTTTGCTAAACATTAACAACTGTTATATAAATGTGGTTTGTTATATTTTTCTCACCTTCAGATATTTCCTTTCCCTTACTCCTTCCATCCAATCAATTGCAAGATCCTGTTGGTTTTCCTTGAGTTCGTATCCCTTTACCCATCCATCCCTTCTGATCTGTGTCATCCAACCAAGAACCCTTGAGTCATGATGTAGATAGAGGTGATGTATCAGCAGCAAGATCACTGACATAGAAGTCAAGACAATAGCATAAACTGTGTCACCTTCCACCTATCTGACTGCCTTGTCCTCATCTGTCAGATGAAGGAGTTCTATTAAATGACCTCAGAAGCCCCTTCCACTTTGGATCTTTAGTGGGCTAAATTCCCTTCCAGATCCAATGTTCTGTGTTCTGTATTCTAAGACCCTTTCTATCTCTGGTGTATTGTATTCTGTGTCCAAATAGCCCTTCTGGGGCAGCTAGGTGGCACAGTGGGTACAACACTGGCCCTGGAATCAGGAGGAAGTGAGTTCAAATTTGGCCTCAGACACTTGACACTTACTAGCTGTGTGACCCTGGGCAAGTCACTTAACCCCATTCTCTAGCCAAAAACAAAACAAAAACCAAATAGCCCTTCCCAGTCATCATCTTTGATGTTGTAAGCAGGGGTGTGCTGGAGCTAGCTCGTACTGGCTCTGCCCAATTGGGAAATTTTCAAGGTGAATATTTACACCTCAAAAATCAGCAAACTACAAACCAGGGCTTGATTGACTGTTTTGTTGATTGTCTAGACTTACAAAGTGATGGAGAAAATGTTAATAATGCAGATTAAACTTAATTAAATTAAACTTAAAAGTGTGTTATTCATATACTTTCCTTCTCTCCACTCACCTTCCCCCAGAGAAATGGTTATTAATTACCAGCACACCTGTGGTTGTAAGCGCCATTCCACATTCTGTGCTTTAAAGCTCTTCTTAGTTTGGCCATTCTATGTTCTGCAGTCGTTTCTAGCTCTGACATTCTAAAACTTTTTTTGTGGTTTTGGATGTTCTTAGGTCACCATCAGTTATAAGGTTCTAAGGATCCTAAGGTTGTCAATGGATTAAGGGTCCAAATTCTGTCCCCTTGGGCCACCTTAGTGAGGAATGTGGGAGCAGGAGTTGGTGATGTGGGAAGCTAGGGTATGGGGAGACCCGAGAGTGGGAAAGAGTTTCAGACATGGTTGTCTCTACAGGTGGAGTCAAATCGAAAGTACCGCATGCATACTATACAGGAGAAGGCAGCTGGTTCCATCTATATCAATTCACGCAGTGTCTTCCTGCGGACTGAACAGAAAGAGGGCCGGTATATCATCATCCCTACCACCTTTGAGCCAGGCCAGACATGTGAATTCCTCCTCAGGATCTTCACAGACGTCCGTGCCTCCTGCCAGTAAGTGCTTGGGGCTGGGGGAAAGGGGAGAATTGAAAAGAACAGGACTTGTTTATTTCCTGCCCAGTGACTCCCAGTTGCCCATTTATCATAGTCCCACTTGTCAGATACTTGTAACTTTGTCCAGAGTGTCTTATTTGGTAAATGGGACAGGAAAGATAATAATTCCTGTTTTATGGAAGACGAAGCCAAGTCCCAGAGATAGGAAAGGTACTTGCCTGGGTCACAAAATGAGATAATGGTAGACCTGGGGCTGCAATCCAGGTTTCCATGGATTGAAATAGTCACTGTCTATATTGTTTTCTTGGTTCTGTTTACTTTGCTCTGCATTAGTTCATGGAGATCTTTCTGTGTTTCTCTGTATTCATCACACACATAATTTCTTAGAGCAGACTAAAGTTCATTACATTCAAAGCCCTTCATAATCCAGCCCCCTCCTACCTTTTCATTCTTCTTACACCTTGTTTGCCTACACATACTCTTCTATCCAGTGACATTGGTCTCCTGGCTCTTCCATAAACAAAATCTCAGCTCCTGGCATTTTCTCTGACTGTCCACCATGCCCGGAATGTTCTCCCTCCTCCACTTGTACTACTGACTTCCCTGGCTTCCTGTAAGTCCCAACTAAAATCCCACCATCTATAGGAAGTCAACTACGCTTAATTTCAGTGCTTTCTTTCTTAATGGTTTCCTATTTATCCTGTACATAGCTTGCTTTGTTTGTTTGCATGTTGTCTCCCCCATTAGATGGTAAGTTCCTTGAGGGTAGAGACTATCTTTTGCCTCTTTTTGTATCCATGTATGCCTGGCATGTAGTAATCACTTAATAAATGTTTCTTGAACGAATGAATGAATGAATATTCACATACCACAATTTATTTAGCCATTTCTCAATCAATGTGCATCTTCTTTGTTTCCAATTCTTTGCTACCACAAAATGTACTGCTATCAATATTTTGGTGTATATGGTAACTTTCTTCTTATTGATGGCTTCCTTGAGGTTTAAGTGCAGTAATGGAGTCTATAGTTCAAAGGGTATGAACATTTTGGTCATTTTATTTGCATATCAAATTGCTTTCCAAAATACTTGTATCATTTCACAGCTCCACTGACAATGTATTAGTATGCCTGTCATACTACAAACCCCCCCAACATAGATTTTTTTAAAATAAATTTTTGTTGATATTTTCAGTTTCTTACATCACAATAGTTATTCCAAATATCCGTCATTCTCTCTCTCCTAGAAAGCTATTACATATGACAAATAGTATTTTTTGAGAGAAAAAAATCACAGTTGATATAGATATGTTGAAAAAATCTCAAAAACAAAATATTGGCTATTGTAATTTTTGGTCACTTTTGCCAACTTGCAGGATGTGAGGTGAAATCTCACATTTTTAAAAATTTGAATTTCTCATTATTAGTGATTTGGAGCATTATTTCATGTGGTTATGAATACTTTGCAGTTCTTTTTTTGAGAACTGTTTGTATCCTTTGATTACTTATATATTGAGGAATGGCTATTAGCTATATGCATATAGTAATAATAATAATTATTATTATTAATTGTTTCTATATCTTGGATACCAAAGCTATATCAGAGAAATTTTATATAAAGATTTTCTTCCCATTCTATTGCTTTCTTTCTTATCTTAGATACATTAATGTTGTCTGTGCAGAAGCTTTTTGGTTTCATATAATCAAAGTTATCTATTTTATTTTTGGGGGTTGTCTCTATCTCTAGTTGGTTAAGAATACATCTCCTACCTATAGCTATGAGAGGTATACTGTCTGTTTCTCTTTTAATTTTTTTATAGTCTGCTTTTTAATATTAAGTTTGCATTTCCATTTAGAATGTATGGTAAAGTATGATATAAGGTGTTACTCTAAGCCTAATTTCTGCTAAATTGCTCTCTATTGTAACTAGCAGTTTTCATTAAATAAGGAGTTTTTTCCAATGTAATTTATGTTTCCCACTTTATCAAACACTTCATAGATTAGATAATAGAATTTAAAGCTTGAAGGAACCAATGAAATTATCTAGCTTAAATCCCTCATTTTACAGATGAGGAAACTGAGACTCAGAGCGGTGAAGTATACCATCTGTGACATCATACAGGAAGTAGGGATGGCTGATCAAGAACTTGAGGCTTAAGTAGAGGTGGTACAGTGGGTCAAATGCTAGACCTGGAGTCAGGAAGCCCTGAATTCAAATCTGGCATCAGACACTTACTAGCTATGTGATCCTGGGCAAGTCACTTAACCTGTCTGCCTCAGTTTCTACAACTGTAAAGTTATACTAATAGCACCTACCTTTCAGGTTTGTTTTGAGTCTTGTGTGAGATACTGTTTATAAAGTGGTTTGCAAACCTTAAAGTGCTCTGTAAATGCTAGCTTTTATTGTTTCCCAGGATGTCCCAAAAATCTTAGTGCAGTTTTATGATATTAAATCTTAAAACCATACTAAGAATTTTGGAGTACCCTATATAACTATATAATTATAACTATAACTATATATATGTATATATATGTGTGTGTGTGTGTGTGTGTGTGTGTGTGTGTGTGTATAATATCTGCCAAAACCAAATTTGATAGAAAGTCCCTACTGCTAGAATGCTAGCAGTAGGTAGGCTCAATAATTCACAGAAGGTGATATAAGAATGGAGCTATCCAATGAAATGTCCTTCATGAAAGGATTTAAATTTCCTTTTTGCCACCTCTTTACTCTCCTGATTCTTGTTCTTGCCTTCCTCCCCCAAATTGATTCCTGTCTCTTCCCTCATCTTTTATCTCTCTTCACCTCCTATTCTCTTTTCTCATTTTCTGTCTCTTCTCCTCTCCTCAGGGAATTGCTCCTGGATCAGCCCCGCCATTGGTGGTGGAATAGAATATTCGGTTACCCTCAGGTTGTATCCCAGATCCATATCATCAAAGCTGAGGGACTGAGGGATTCCCCTTCAGAAGGTAGGTGTTCCTTCTCTTTGCCCCACTTCCATCCTCTCTGTCCTTTCCTTGGGGTGTCATGGTTTCCCTCCTTCCCACTGAGATGAAGGCCTCTAACTTGGTCCAGTTTAGAATAGTATAGGCAGGCTGAGTGTTGGAGGTTGAGGCTGGTGAATTGCTTGAATTTAGGATTTCTGCACTGCTGTAGGGTTATAGCCCATCAAATTTTCACACTAGCTCCTGCTCCAGTAAGGTGAGTCCCTGGGATCAGAATGCCTTAGGCTACCTAGGGAGGAGCAAACCTCCTAGAGTGAACCCTTCAGTCTTGGCAAAATGAAGAGACTCAGTTTCAAAATTAAAAAAAAAAAGATAGACTAGGCAGACACTAGGGATGGTGGTATCTAAGGATAAGATCCCGAGATGCCATCTTTCCAATCCTCCAGGTTCCTAGGAGGAGACATATGGGAGAAGAATATCAATGGAAGAATGCACTTTATCATATAATAACTGCATAATGTAAGCCTTCATTGATGCCCTCCCTTCATGTTTGGCTGGCCCTGTCAACCTGGAAAGATTTAAAAGATGATGTATATCCAGCCTAGATAAGTTTAGAGAGCTTCATCACTGGCAGACTGGCCACCAGGAGATGAAGTTTTAGGTCATAGCAGCACTTGAAGACAGTCTACTAAAGAAGGGAAGGATTTGTGATCTCAGTCAGGGAAGGGTCTCAGCACACAGGAAATCATGGAGCTTTGGAAGGACTGACTTGTGCATGAGTCTCTGTGCTGGGGGAGGGGTACAAAAATGCTTTAAATGATATTGTCCCTGCCCTCAAGGAGCATATACAAGTTAGTAGGAGGAATTACAACAGAGAATGAGTCATCAAGGGAAGAATCACGTTTAGCTGAGGAAGACTAGAGAACACTTCATGATGGAGACATCTAAGGTGTACCTTGAAAAAAGAGAAGGATATCAACAGGTAGAGATATAGAAGGAGATGTATATGAGAAAGCTAGGCGATACAGCAGACCAAGTGCTAGACGTGGAGTCAGGAAGACCTGAGTTCAAATGTAGCCTTAGACACACACTAGCAATGGAACCCTGGGCAAGTCACTTAATCTCTGCCTGCCTCAGTTTCCTCATCTGTAAAATGGAGATAATAATAGCACCTACGTCCCAAGGTTGTGAACATCAGATGAGTTAATATTTGTAAAGTGCTTCGAAACCCTAAAGTGCTATGAATACGTGAACTGTTATTATTGTGCTTTTGGGCATGGGAGAAGGCCTCCAAGAATTTACAGAGGCAGTATGAGACAGGGAATCCCTAGCCTTGGTTTGGCTAGAGTACAAAAGAGGGAGATGGAGGATGATGGCAGGAGGAGAGGTGGTGAGTTTAGACTTGTTTGTGGGGAGATTATCCTGGGGGTGTAGGTGCAGAATAGACTGAATCCTCCTTAGAGGACCTTTGAAGCCCTCCTCATTTTCCAGATGACAAAAGGAGAAAATCAGAGTCAGGGAGACCTGTTAGAAAATGATTACGGTAGTCAAGGCAGAGGTGCTTTATGGAGGTGGTTACGTGAGTGAAGAGACATGTGGAGATGGGATTGACAGGGTCTTGTAAGAGATTACAGGGTCATAGGTTCTTAGGATCATGACTTTAGAGCCAGAAGGGACCTTGGAGGCCATCAAATCCAATCCCCTAATTTTACAGATGAAAAATTAGGCCCAGAGAGGTGAAGTGTTTTGCCTAGGGTCGCACATCTAGTAAGTGTCTTACTAGGCAGAAACTCAAATCTTGACATTAACTCTGATTGTAAATCGAATGTTCTATCCACAATACTACAATGCCTGAATAAGGAGGTAGGAGTCCAAAATGAGTTTCCAAAGGTGGGTGACTGGGGGGATAAAGGTTCCATCAAAAGAATCACAGGGACATTGTGGACTTTGGATGCCCATGGAATGGTAAGGGGAGCTGACATTTTTTAGGAAGCAATTGGAAATGACAGGTCTAGACCTCAGCCGGGAATGGTGGGACTGGGTGTGTCTCTTCAATGATCCCAGGTCCTTTTCTCAGGGTGGTCTTGTTCACTATTTCCTTTCTGCCCTCCCTTTGCCCCCTCCAAGTTCTCTCCATGCTCCATTTCTCTTCCCACAGAGACTAACTCCTATGTCATCATCAAATGTGAAGGAGAGACAGTCCAATCGGATGTGCACAAGGGTAACAGCACCCCAGAGTATGATGTGAAAGGCATCTTCTATCGCAAGAAGCCGGAGCAGCCTATCATAGTCCAGGTGGGTGTCTGGCCCATGGGGTCACAGGCTGCAGGAACCCAATCCCTAGGCATTACCTTCCGAGAGAAGACCCCTGATGAGTTAGAAAGAGCACCGGGAATAGTGTCAAAAGCCGTGGGTCTGTTCCTAACTCACATTTCATATACAGCATGTCCAAAGGTCTTAGTGCAGGTTTGAAGGTTTTATAGCTTCAAACCTGCACTAAGACTTTTGGGATGTCTTGTATTGCATTCCTCGTAAGAAATCTATGAGTTGTTGCTGTGAATAGTATTATCCCATTTTACAAATGAGAAAACAGGTTTGAAATTACATAGACTTGGCCAGTGTTAAAAAAAGCTGATAAGCCTGAAGGCTGCCATTTGAACTTGTGTCTCCTAATTCCAAACCTGAGTATTCCTTCATTTGTATATACTGTGATCTTGTACAAGTGACTTTCATTCACTCCACCTCAGTTTCCCATTTGATGTCAGAATTGGAAGGGACTGCAATGGCCCCCTAGTTCCAAACCCTACTTAAATACAAATCTTATCTAAAACATAGACTTCCACTAAAAGGGAAAACCTACCCCTTTCCGAAGCAGCTCTTTCCACTTTGGATGACTCTAATTATTAGAGAATTTTTTCTGATATCAGTCCTAAATTGGCCTTTCTGCCACTTTCACCCACAAGGGCCAAGCAGAAAAAATCTAACCCAGTTTACACAGGGCAGCCCTTGAAATATTTGGACCTAGCTACACTATTATCCCTCAATCTTCTCTTCTCCAGGATAAATCTTCCCAGTGCCTTTAACTGTTCTTCAGTCTCTTCCGCACCAGTCTAGTTTCCTTCTTTTGCATACTTCCCAGCTTATTAACTCATTTCCTAAAATGTGACACCTACAGCTGAACACGAAACTCCTCAGTTGCTGCCGTATTGGGGAGGAGTCCTATGTGAAGGACTTGACCTAAATAAACTAGACGACACTTATCTTGATCCTCTAAAAAATAGTTTAAAAACTGCTGTTTTTAAATATTTTTTGTGTGATAGATCCCTTTGGCAATCTGCACATTCTGGTAGTTCGGTGAAACCAAAGTCTTTTCTCAGAATAATTATTGTCAGAATGATATTTTTTTAAATTCCTAATTGAAGGAAATGTTAGATTTCAGTTAGAGATTAGTGAAAATAAAGATATATTTTATTTTCCCATTCAAGTTCATAGACTTCCTGAAATCTATTCATAGGCTCTTTGGAGGTCCATGAACCTCTGGGTTAAGAACCCTTGTTCTTGAATTAGAACTTTTGAGATTCGCAGCCCAGGCTCAAATTCCCCTGTCTCCCTTCCCCCCAGCCACACACATTTTCTGTTAACAACCATAGGTTGGGAGGGGGATCAGAGTCAACCAGTCCAACCCTTCCATAAATAAGAATCTACTCTGTAACATTTCTAGGTAGCCAGTTCCATTTTTGCATAGTTCTAATTGGTAGGAAGTTTTACCTTATATTGAGTTATTTAGTTTCAATTAATTTTTAATCTTTGCTTCAAAAGCCCTTCTTCGAATGTAATTTTTATTGCATTGTTTTTGGTAAAAGATGCATTTAATATTTGTCTGTGAGGTTTTTATGCCCTTACATGGTCAGTTTTTATGGCGGTACCATGTGCGCTGGAGAAATAAGTGTACTTCTTTCTATTCCCATTCAATATTCTCCATAGGTCTATCATTTCTAATTTTTCTAAAATTCTATTCAGGTCCTCCATTTCTATTTTATTTTGGGGGTAGATTTATTGAGGTCTGAGAGGAGTCATTTGAGGTTCAGCACTATTATAGTTTTACTATTTCCTCCTGTAACTCAGTTTGTTTTTCCTTTAAGAATGTAGATGCCATGTCATTTGGTGCATCTATATTCATTGTCTAAGGTACCTTTTAACAAAATGCAATTTCTTTTCTTATCCCTTTAGGGATTTTATGATTTTATCTTCTACTTTTTACTGTTCCTTTGTTTGAAATCGATTGGTACCCTTGCCTTTTTTGCTTCATCCGAAACAAGTGTCCGCTCTAGCCCGTTGTTTTAACTCGGTGTATTTTTCATTCCTTACACTGAGTAGAAATCTTTGAAGGTCTCAGTTGCCCCTCAGCTGACACCTTTCAGATGCCACCTGCTTCACAGCTCTTTTCCTAATTCTCCAAGTTTAGTATTCTCCCTCCTTGAAATTATTTGGTATTACTTTGTATTTTCAGTATATGCATTGGTATGCCATATTGCCCAGTAGAATACAACTCCTTGAAGACAAGGACTGTGTTCATATTATCTCTGTGTCTCTGAAACTTTACAATATTATAGGTGCTTAATAGTGTTCATAGAATTTGCTTTAATTGAACTGGACTTAGTCAAGATAATTATAATAGCTAGTATTTATAAAGAGCTTTCAGGCTTACAAAGTGCTTTACTATGTTATTTCATTTGAGCTTCACAACAGCCCTGGGGAAAAGGTACATTTATTATCCCTATTTTACAGATGAGGAAACTGAGGCAGTCAGAGGTTAAATGACTTGCCTGGGGTCTCGCAGCTCATCAGTGTCTGAGGCTGTATTTGAACTCAGGTCTTCCTAACTCCACATCTAACACTCTCTCCCCTGTGCCCACATGGCTGCCCTCTAGGGCCACACAGAACAAATTTGCTACCTCCATCCCATGACATCTCACTATGTATGTGCTCTTCTCCTAGATTTGGAACCATAAATTCTTTTTGGATCAGTTCCTGGGGCAGGTGGCCCTGAAGGGGGATCCAGATGACCTCCAGACATCACACGCCCTGCATCTACAAGATAGGGGCAGTGGGAATTCCAATGACCTTCCTGGCACCATCTCCCTCCAGGTCTACAGCAGCAGCAACCTTTCACACATCTAGGGCTTCCCCTCAGCCCTGGAGAACCCATGGTCTGTGGGGGGCACGGCTGGACCTGCTCCCATGTAGCTCCAGCTTCCTTTTGGAGCCCTTTACACACACAATGAGATTTCTTTATTTCCCAAGGACAAATTCACGGTATAGAAGAATTATGCATGTATCTTCTGGAATACAGTGTCTGATAATGCCAGAGGCCTTCTGGGACCTTTAGCACCTCTTAGCCAATGGAGGGGTAGAAGACACAGAGCGCTTCAGAACAGGGCACCATTCAGAGTTACTTGTTTACGTGCCAGTGGCCCTGTGAATTTTGCTCTTGCCCCTAACCTATTCTCTGTTAGCCAGTTCCCCCTCACTCCTTTCTTCTCCCCCCCCACCCATTGCCCTTCACCTCTTCCTGTGTTCTCAGTTACCCACAACTTGACTTTTCCCACCCACCATAATGACAGTTTGCCCTCCCCAGGGTCCCTTTTGTTCAGAGAAAGTAGCAACATCTTTGGGTAGTGGAGAGAGCCCTGAACCAGGAGTCAAAAAGACTTGGTTCCACCATTCATTGGCTAGGAGACCAGTGACACTAGGGAATGACTCCATCAGTGTGAAGGTATCCAATGGCTGGGTGGGACTTAGAGGAGATGCTTTGGTTTTTGGGGCCAGAGGCTCCTCCCCAAGCCCCCCACCTCATCAGACTCCTTGTTAGTGCATGAGAGACTTGCCAGGATTGTTCGTTCAAAAGAGGTCCATTAATTCATCTTCACATCAGAATATGTATTCTTTTGTCAGTTCTGTTAGGTCTTCCACGAAGACAGCCAAAGCCAGATTGTTTTAAAAGCTTTCCATTAGGTCACCGGGCCCCATCTTAGAGGTGAAGGGACTTCACGTGGGCACATGGATGCAGCCAGGCTCTCTACCAGCTGCCATTGCTGTAGCTTTTCCCACAAGTTGAACCAACTGCCAGATACTGGAGGATCCCAACTCCATACGTCATCTCATCCAGGTCAGACCAGCTTTTGTCACTGGTTCCCCTCCCAAAGGGGGTCAGTCCCCATCTAGCTAGATATCTGCACAGCAGTCAGGATGATAGTTGGCCCCCTTGGGCAATGGGATGAGATGTGTCAGAGAGCAGTGCCAAGGCAGCCCCGGCTCTTAATGCCATGTGAAAGCTGGGGTCTAAGGGGAAGGGGTGCACCAAAGGACAACCCCTTCCCCAAGCAGAATGAATTTTCTTCTGCAAAACAGGCTATGTCAGCCCAAGAGGCCAAAGAATCTTCCTTCTTGTCATCTAAATATTGAAGCCAAAGTGTCTTACTGCTTCATTGTGTTTTTCTTATTTCACATTTTAGAGGCTAGGGGTTTCAAGTTGATTAGGAGAACAGAGGACCAGAACCCATCCTTTTTTTTTTTAAAACCTAGTTTCTTTGGGTCTTATGACAACGTGATTCCGGGTGGACAGATTTAGGGATAGGATGCGTGGGAATCTCTGCATGTTTTTTTCCACAACTGGGATTTGGAATTGGATAAAGGCAGGGAATTCTATATAACTGTTTGGGGGCTTTACTGGTTTTTGTTTTATAAAGCTCCACCTTACTCTCTCCCTGGCACATTCTTGAGACATGGACAGCTTAACATCTCCAGTCCAAACATTTGTTTTTCCAGGGGACCCCTTGGGTTGTTAGAAACATGTAAGTCTACCCAGAGACCCTAATGACTCAGTTGTGTCTGAACCCTTTCATTGTCCAGATTAACATCAGGAAAGACGATCCTGTAAGTTCATGAGGGTTGAAAGCCATCCCCCTTGTAGTTAAGAGAGCCAGAATCTTCAGTGAAGCTTGCAAACCTAGGTCTAATTAAGGGGTAATTGTGCTTTAAAGGTATAGCTCCTGCCTTTGCTTTCCTGGGGATCGAGTGAGGAAGGAGGTACCGTCTCCCTGTCACTCTTCCTCTAGGCAACCTGGGAACTTTTCATCTCTAGGACTTTTGTCACTGGGACCAAGGTTGACCAAGCTGAAACAGTATAGTTCTTGACTGCTCACCATGACTCTTCCCATCCTTCCTTCCTGTTCCTGCCATATGCCAATGGGATACCCCTCTCTCTAGGTTGTCCATGGTATGAGGAGCAGAAGGAAGAAGAAAAGGTCATGAAGGGGAGGGAAGGAAGGAAGGAAGGAAGGAAGAAAGGAAGGAAGGAAAGAAGGAAGGAAGGAAATGGAAGGGAGGAAGGAAGGAAGGAAAGGAAAGGAAATGAAGGAAGGAAAGAAAGAAGGAAGATTGTAACCCTATATTCAGCTCTATGTGGGTCTGGAATTGAGACTCAGTGTGATTGTTACAATGAATAAGTCATTTAGACCTCCCTGTGCTTCAATTTTCCTCATCTCTGAAATGGGGCCAATGATACTTGTTTGTCAAGCTTTTCATGATGAGTTCAGTATAAAGACAAAAATATAGGCATATGTACACATATTGTATACTGTATTTACATATGTATAAATATCTCAGTCACAGAACATTAGAGCTGGAGGGACCTTAGAGGTTATCTCCTGCAAATATCTGTCTTATAGCGTCCCCTAGTAATGATCAATCTACCTCCTCTTGGGGTAGCCCATTCCACCCCTCTAGTAGGGAATCTTCCCTTACATTATGCAGAAATCACCCTTTCCATAACTCCCATTCATTCCTTCTGGTTCTTACAGCAGAGTCTAAGCAAAGCAATCCTTATGCCCTTTCCACATGGATGCCCTTCAGATATCTCAATGCAGAAGCCAATCTTCAGCCTCCACCCCTCTTTCCTTAGGGCTTTGTCCTTTTCACATGATCTCTGCTCCCCATCCTGGCCTAGTTGCCCTTCTCTGGGTGTGCTTCAGTTTGTGAATTTCCTTCCTAAGATGTAGTGCCTAGAGCTGGACCCGGCATCCCAGATGGGCCTGACCAAGGCAAAGGACAGTGGGACCCTCGCCTTTCCGAGGAGTATTATGCCTCTTCTTATGTAGCTCAGATTTGTATTCCCTTTTGGAGCTGTTGTGTCACGTCAATGACCGAGATAGACTGACTCTTAACCTTCTCCTAATTCCTGAGGCCTAGAATTCCAGATGGGATATGTATTCATCTTCCTGATAGCAGCTGGTCAGACAGAAATCACACCCTTTTTCCTCTGGAGCTGGTGTCCTGCCTGGGTCCCTGCTGTCCTGATAGGTAACTGCCTTCCTCCTCTGGCCCCTTGTTTCTCAGGCAGACCTCCTCTATGCTTCACCCCACCCCCCACTGCTCTGCAGTCTCCTCTCTAACCAGCTTTGCCAATAAGCTTGCCACCAGAGCCTCCCCTACACCCCCTTCTGGTTCTGAAACCGAAATCACATCAACTCTGCCATTGTTCTAGGAAGGGGTACGTGGCTTCCCTCACCATCTGTTGCATTCTGGACCAAAGTGCCCCCTCCCTCGCCCCCTCTCCACCTTATGTGTCTTGTTTCTTCCTCTTAGAATATAAGCTCCTGAGGGCAGTGACTGCTTTTGCTTTTGTATTTGTATTCTCAGCGCTTAGCACAGTGCTCGGCACCTAGTAAGCGCTTAATAAATGCTTTTTCTTCCTTTTGTTCATTTATTTATTACTTCTCTCATCTAGTAATGTTTGTGACAGTACTAGAAGAGCAGGCCCATGTTGGAAAGAGCATCGGATTTGGGGTCTGGAGTGGTGGAGATAGCCTCTGTTGGGGCCAGAGGACCTGGTTCAAAGCCCTAATCTGCCGCTTGCTATCCTAACTTCTCTGGACAGGGGGAGGATTGTACTGGAGGACCTAAGAGGGGTGGTGGCCCCCAGTTCTGTGATCTGACTGCTGCAGCATTTGAGCCAGCCCCTGAGGAGAACCCCAAGGACGTAGGTCTTGCTTGGGAATTACCTTGCTGGCGTGGGCTGGATGCAAACTTTGGGTAGGATGAGCCCTTCTCTTCCCTTCCTTCTCACACCCCTCTTCTGTCCAATTCCAATCTATCTAATCCACCCCACCACCATCATCAGGGACTATTTTTCAAGGCCTTGGATCCAGTGTAGGTAGAGGAGCTAAGTTGGCACTGGACCTGCCTTCTAAGGGCTGATGACCCAACTTTCCAAAGATTTCTCCCACTCTCACCCCACTTCTCCAGTCCCCATGACCATTTGTACATTGCTTAGAATCCTTGTTGCTGTTCAGTCATGCACAACTCTTCGTGACCCCATTTGGAGTTTTCTTGGAGTGATTTGCATTTTCTTCTCCAGCTCATTTTATAGATAAAGAAACTGAGGCAAACAGGATTAAGTGACTTGCCCAGGGTCACATAGCTAGTAAGTGCCTGATGCTGGATTTGAACTCAGGTCTTCTTGACTCCAAGACTAGCACTCTATCCAGTGCACCACCTAGCTACCCCCATAGAATCCTTAGTTCCATTCAAGGCTCAGCTCTAGTGCCATCTTGTATAGGAGGCCTTTTCTGATACTCTCCAGTTTTGGGCTCTCCTTATCCCCTTATTTTGTATTTACTTTTCATATACTTCATCTTTACTTATCTTTGTACATGTGTTCCTCTTCCCTCCCCAGTAGAATGGAAGCTTATTGAGGGCAAGAACTCTTTCTTGTCTTTATCTCTGTTCCACTTAGTGCATAGTAGGCATTTAATAAATGTATATTGAAGGGCAGCTAGTTGACACAGTGGATGGAATGCTGGGCCTGAAGTTAGGAAGACTTATCTTCTTGAATTCAAATCTGGCCTCAGACACTTACTAGCTATGTGACCTTGGGCAAGTCACTTAATCCTGTTTGCTTCAGTTTTCTCATCTGTAAAATGAACTGGAGAAGGAAATGACAGACCACTCTACTTGCCAAAAAAACCCCAAATGGGGTCACAGAGTCAGATACGACTGAAAAATGATTAAACAAATATTGAGTCAACCATTTCCATCAATGCAGAGCTAGCACAGTTCCCTTAGTTTTTAATGTTTATGTAGCAGGGGGAGGGAATGAAGGAAGGAGAGCAGTTAGCAATAGTGATGCCCTCTGAAAGGGTCATTAGACTATTTTTTAAACTGCTTGGGCTGGGTTTGGTGAAAGCTTGTAATCCCTACTGCTAGGGAGGTTGAAGATAGTGGATTGCTTGAGCTCAGGAGTTTTGAGCTACATTTCCTAAGCTATTGGGTTAGTCACTAAATTCTGCACCACATAAGTGTCTGAGAGTGATGGGATACTAGGTTGCTTAAGCAGGCAGGGACAGCCAGTCCAGCTCAGAAATGGATTGGGTCAGAAGTCCCTAGATGATCAGCAGTAGGATTTGACTCCTGAGTGACCGGGGTGCTTCCAGCCTGGGTAAGAGAGGGAGATCTAGTCTCAAAACAAACTTAAGATATATGGAAGAGTATAGAAAGAAGTTCAGAAGGTAGCACCACTAGGACAGTTTTGAAAGACCTCTCTCTCTCTCTCTCTCTCTCTCTCTCTCTCTCTCTGTCTCTCTCCCTCTCTCCCTCCCCTCCTGTCCTCTTCTTTCCCTCCCTCTCTCTCCCTTCCTATCTGCCTATTTTTAAAAGCAAGATGTATGAAATGAAGAATCATAGTTTATTTATAATCCTTTGTATTCTATACAGAAATGTTCCTTTTTTTGGTGTTTAAGTTCAGAGTGATAAAAAGAAAAGAAAAAAAAGATGATGCAATTCTATATAAGGAAAAATTAATCCACTACAACGATGAATAGACTTCATTTTCACATAAGAATCAATCCAGTTCCATAGAGGTTAGAATTAATCTAATTTCATCTAGGGAAGAATTCATCCAATTTAAGGCAAAATCATCCTGGACCCTTACCATCAGGCTATTTTGAGCCTTATACAATCAGGAGTCCTCCTGTCCTAGTTTGCTGCTCCCACCCTTCCCTTGTGGAGAGTTGTTTGCTATAGGGCTGAGGATAAGGAGTGTCAGCTGGTACTGGGACAGGCTAGTGAGAGACAGGGCAGAGAAGTTTTGGCAGGGTGACCACTGGGCCCCAAGCACCAGACTACCACTATACATAGTACTGGGCTAGGCTAGAGGAGATGCCAAGTTTACCTAATATAGTGTCTCTGCCCATGAGGAGCTCAGCACATGAATATAAATGCAGATAACCATAACAGTATAATATTAGTGCTTGATTTTGTTTTGTTTCTAAGAAATACATTTATTAAGTGCCTACTGAATTCAGCCCTCTGTACTAGTCCCAGGAGAAGAAATCTCACCTGCCATCTCTGAGCAGTGATGATTGGGGACTTTGTTCAGCCCCTTTGGACTTCCCTGGGAAGGCAAACAGCACCCATTGGGAGCCCTCTTAAGTCCTAGATTTCACAGTCCAAATTCCATTGCTACTTATTAGGGGATTGCCAGGTTGGAAACATCACACACTCACCTGCTATTAGAAGTGCCCTCAGTCTTCCCAGATGTGAAATGGGCCACCTCAAGAGGCAGTAGAGTCCCTCAGTCACTGGGAATGTCCAAGGAAAGGATCCAAAGGAATTCCCATTCACTTACAAATTGGATGATTAATTGTCTTCTGAGGTCCCTTCCAGCTTTGGAAGTCTGTATTTAATACTGGGAATGATAAAGACTATCCCAAGAGGTTTTCAGAATAAATTTTCTCTAGAATCTTAATGTCTATGTCTATTTCCTATTAGGTTATGGGTGGGAGAGGCTTAGAATGGGGTGGGGTGGGGTTGGGGTGGGTAGACGTACTTGACTTCTATGACTTACCCTGATGTATGACTGGAGCTGGAGCATGAGGATGGGGCAGTCAGCAAGCATTTGTTAAGCACTTACTATATGCCAGGCACCGTGTTAAGCTCTGGGGATATACAGGCAAAAATGCAACGCCTGCCTTCAAGGAGCTCCCATTCTAATGGGGAAGACAACATGCAAACAACTATGAGTATACAAAGTCTATACGGTATAAAAAGGACATAATTTCAGAGGGAGGGTCCTGGGGTGGGGTGGGGTGGGGTGGGGTGGGATGGGGTAGGTACCAAGGCCTTCTGCCGAAGGTGGGATTTGAGCTTGTCTTAAGGTAGGCCAGGAAAGGCAGGAGGTAGAGGTGATGGGGCAGGCTGTTCTGGGCATAGAGGACAACAGATGAGCATTCAGAGTTAGGAGATGGAGGGTTTGAGTGGGAAGAACAGCAAATGGGCCAGTGGAGCTAGATTGTAGAGTACGTAGATGG